GCAAGCTGACTGCTCAGGCAGGATTTCCTAAGCAATCATCTAGAAACCACCAGAATGACTACTAAGCTCGCTTAATTGTTGGGGGTGGAGGGGGGGGGCGGCCGATTATCTTAATTAACTTTGGCTTTAGAGTGCAGTGATCTTTGCCTGCCTGATGCCTGGCCTTCCTGTTGTGTCCTCAATCCGTCTAGACCTCAAGGTCGCGGCGGCCGCCAAACTTACTGGCGTGAGACACAGGCCGCCCACGTTGATTTCTACCCACACGGTGTCAAACCAATCACAGACCGATGAACGCTCTCTCTACCTCTCTTTCTCTGTCTACTGGCCTGACCACTCTCAAACTGGCACTCGGACCCGGTCAATCTTCTGGCTGGTCGTGTTCTCCCAAGTCAGACTTCTTCCATCTATTCTGCGTTCCTCTGTGTACACAATATAGTGTTCCTAACACTCTGGCCTTTCCAAGACTTTTTCTGTACTAAGTAACCATGGTCTGAAGACCGCAGTTGCTTGGGTTTAACTCACTTAACCCCCTGCGATAAGAGCTCAATTCATTCATTTTATCCCCAGTTTGAGTATTTTCTGAGGCTAGATCTTAAAGCAAGACATGGGCATCAACCATCGGAACGCTACGTACGGCATCAATTTCACATAACGTTGTATAAGTGGTTTTTTGAACTCCTACGGGCTCACTTTAATAAGCGATGCTGATGTTTGATAAGCAGATACATTAGGCTAAGGAGGTTTTAATATGGCGGATTTCAATACTGCTAATAGAATTGCATCCCGTGAACCCATATAAAAGTACAACTGGTGACCAGCTTGGAAAACACGATTTGCATTCAAATTCTCAAAGAAAACAGACATTTAATTACCCAGGTTATGCTTAAAATTATTGTATACCTGTAGGTAGTTTTCACCATTCTGCATTTACTCACATTATTTACACTTTGAGCGTTTCTCCACATGCCAAGGTCAGTTGCCATTAAAAAAACTTTGTGATAAAAAAGTAGGCACATCTATCATGAGAAACATCGAAATTTCAGACAGACCGAAGACTTACTTTACTGCTTCAGCATAGACTTTGCCGTCAGTGCGTACCGCGGCACCCGAAACATAAACCTCCCCGGTTTCTCCTCGTGGAAGCACCCTCAGCTCATCACAGTCGTCGCCTTCATCTAAATAGCATTGAATGCATTAATAAAAAATTTTCGGCCGTCTACCTGAGCGTCGCGTCAGAACGTAAACCTCGCAGTTTTGGATGGGCAGTCCAACAGGCAGAAAGAAGGCACCGTCAGCTTCAGCTGAACTCTCCGCCTCACGACTGGCAAGAACTTCCTCCAGACTGTCAAACACTGCCACCGTCACATCACCGGCCACCTCAGTGCTGCCGTAGAGGTTGACCAGCCGAAGTCTGCTTATCTTAGCGAAGATGCGAAAAACGTCGGTCGCCAGGCGCACGGGCAATAACTGGCCACTCACAACGAGAACCTCCAGGCTGTAGAAGTGACCAATCAGATTTCGATCCGTGC